CGTTCTGTATGAATAAATAAATAAATCTTTAAAGAAAAAAAATACCAAAATGATTAAAAAAAAAAAGTATACTTGAGTGTGATGATACTTCTAATTGAGTTCTGTGAGAAAATCTTCAGCCCCAAAGAAAAAAGTTTTGGACTTGTGAAATGGTGTCGCGTGTAAGAGGCACCAGTGTTTGTCTCTTTGCTGGGTGAGTCACCATCAGGGCCTTTGGACTCCACGACAGGATGTCCTCTGCACCAGAACGCTGGGGCTACCCTGGAGGCCAGTAGTGCATTGTCCTAGCACCACCTCTGCAGTGCCGTGGCCAAGGAGATGCTGTGTTGCCCAGAGGAGCTTGTTGTGGGTGAGAGGAGCCCTGCGATAGGCCAGGGGAGGCTCTTCCAGGGGAAGCTCCCCCGAGAGCAGGCAGTGTATCTTTACTCAGGTGTGAACTCCGATCCTTAGCTCCTCTTTGGCAGAACATGGCTGTCAGTCTGCAGTCCAGGTTCTTAGTGACAAACAGAACATAGTGACAAAAAGTACATAGGTACTTTTGATTGTTGATAACCTCAGGGCAGTACAGTCTTTTTAAAATGCAAACCAGATTGTGTCACTTCCCTGCTTAAAGGCCAAAATCTTTGCTGCAGTCCTCAGCTTGGGAGAGTTGCCCCTCCTCCACTCTGACTGTGCCTCTCCTTCCCCAGCTCAGTCAATCCCACTGTCTTCATCCAACTTCCCAACCCGCCAAGTGCAGCGCCCACCGCGGTCGCAGTGTGAGCAGCGATGCCTGTGAAATGGCCTAAGGTGTGGCGCGTTGGCAAGCTCGTACTCTTCGGAGTTTATGGCGGCCCGGGTCTCCCTGTGTTGCAAAGAGAGCGGCCTCGGGTGCTCATTCCTTGGTAACTTTGAATAGGGTTTTTATGGTTATTTTTGACATTTGTGGGCAGTGTGATTGCTGCATGCCAGAACTTCCTGTACCCTGCACAGTCCAGTATATCTATAATCAATGGCACTGAAAATCAATCATAGTTCTAGTAATTATACTGACGGCGGACCTCCACTAGGGAAGGCTATGCTTGGCATGATCCAGGAAGGACACATTGTTTCACTAGATGCATTCATGAACAAATTTACGTCAAAAGAATTATTGATAGAAGATATGTGGGACGAACGGGAAGCTGTAGAATTACAGGCACTTCTTGGGAACTCTCACACTCAATATTCAGAATCAGTTAGCAGAACTTTGAGTCAAATTCCGACAAAAACAGAAAGGGGTTTTATATATTATTTTCTAAACAGCAGATGGTGGACTCCACCACGCAGTTCTCCGGGAATGAATTTGTTTATGTGTCATACTCAGTATCAAGGATGTTATGATGAGCAATGTAACCAGTGGGTTGCAAAGAATGGGGAAAGAGTTAATTACTATAAATTGCCCTTCTTGGAAAGACTGGGTAGGTCCAGCCCACCTTGGTGTATTATTCCCAAGAAAGAGAAATTAGAATGATTACAAATGCTTATTCCCTGTTTAAAGAATAACTATATGGATGAATAGCGAAGTTGAATATTATTTGAACTCTAATACTGAATTCTGGTAAAAGGTCTTAAGATAATTATGTGTTGGGCATGTGGCCGACACATTGTTGTAGTTAAGGCATGCAAAGTGAATGTCTAGCACCCTGGTCACGGATGTCTTGTGCCCTTTCTTTTTGAACAAAAAAGTAATAGATTATGTCAGCATCTGGCAATGTATAACCTACCTGGACGAACACTAGTTTCCTTGCACTTACTGTATAAAAATCTACACAAATTGCAATAAAATCGCAGCAGTCCATCAACTCCTCTGAGTGTGACTGTCTGTCAGTTCCTGCGCCGAATCCCGTTCTCCTGTCTTCAGACCCTGTCTCTCCCTCGGTCCCGGTGCCCTGGCTAGGGCCGGTCCGCGGCAGCCAAGTTCTTTTCTTATCTCAAGGTCTTCTCGTGGACTCTCCCCACAGGCCCACACCCCCATTTTCCACATTTTAAATATCTCAGTTTAAAGGGCAGGGCGCAGGGCCTCCCTGACCTCTCTATCTGAAACAGACTCTCCTTTCTGTTGTCATCCTTCTTCACTGCTTTCATAGCACCATGACAACGCTCATCACTGTGTTTATTTCCACCAGATTTGGGGTGTTTTCCACATTAGGTCACAATCTCCAAGGTGGTGCTGTGTCTCTCTGGCATTTTGGCACAGATACTGCCAGAGGGGGAGGAACTTGATAAATATGGGTTCAAGTGAATGTCATGTCCACACTCCTGGACCCTGGCCCTGGGGAGCAGGAGTCCTGCTCCTGTGGCAGCATGTTTCATTGCACTGATGCTTCCTTCACACAGTATCCTGGCTCTCATCTGAACTGTGCACATCCAGGGACTCGCGTGCCATTGCAATGTCATTTTATTAAGTAAATAAAGTTGAACAATGACAAATTGGGCAAAGAACCAAGGATTACCTAAGAATGTGGACCTCTTTCTTTGGCAGCAGAGTTACTGTTGGACTAATATAATTGTGAAAGAAAAAACTAAATTGTAAGTCAAATCTTCACTAAAATCCCACTATACTGACATTAACAGAGGAAAGCTATTGTCTTCTCAGAGAGAAGATTGGAACAGCAGCTGTATAAATTACCTCTTGATTCATATTAATCTGCAGATGGCTCACGGGGGAGTTAGGAATGCAGAAGCTGTTTGAGAAATAGATGGGGTATATAAGTGCACAGTATTGCTTAGAGAAGGCTGAAAGGCAACACGTATAATCCGGGGGTGTTTTCCAGAGTGAGGAGTTGACAGGGCCCCAGAAGGACCAGTGGATGCACTGAAAGCAGTGGAAGGCCCCCCAAAAGGGGCTCTATCCAACCTCTGCTCTAGATGCCATGTGCTCTGAACCCCAAAGCTTTTCCACACCCACCCACAAACACCCCCACCGTGTGACCTACGTTTAGGAGGATGGGTCCAGGAAAGGAATTCCTGCAGCCCTGGGAGGCAGGCTGGGGGCTGTTTGGGCTGAGAACTCCAGGGCCCCAGCTCTCCGAGTGTGGTCTAAGCAGGTGTCTGTGTTCTGGATGGGAATGTCCCTTTGGCCCATGACTCCTCATTGGCAGATTGGGGTGGGAGGTGTGTGCAGCAGAGGCCCCTCTTGCCCAGATCTGTTTCCCTTTGTGGTTAAGCACAGCCACCTTCTCAGATTTCTGTGTTGCAGAAATCTGTGTCGCTCAGTTGCAGCATGCCTCCTCTGGCCTTCCTTTAACAGATTATTGGTATTACGATTACCCCAGCAATTAAGGAATCCAAGTTGGATGAGCAGTAGCTTAACAGTATAGCTCTTAATGGCCAGAGATACTCTCTGGTCAATGCCCGTACCCTACAATTAGGCAGCAGCACATAATGGTTTTTGTTTTTCTTCTTATTTCAAAGGGAGAGTCTTTATCCCCAAAGAAAAACCCATAGAAAGAAAGCCCATAGAAGAAAAAGTAACCCTCGACCCAGAACTGGAAGAAGCCTTGGCCAGCGCCTCTGACACGGAACTCTACGATCTTGCAGGTTAGTTCTTGGCTCTGGGAAACTTTCCTATGTGACTTTGAGACTTCCAGGCAGTGCTGGCACCCATGGCAGCAGCCTTTGTGTGTGTCCATACTGCCTGTTACTGCAAGTGACTGGAGCCACTGTGTAGCTATTAGACATGATGCAGGTGACTCACTCTCACTGAGCACACCTGATTTTGCTGTACTTTAGCTGTAGACTGTAAAGCCATATCTCAGCATAAAATGCCCAAATCATACCTATCCTAAGGGTATAGGAGTTATATGGCAAATCCAAGAGAATAAATATCAAAGACTATTGAGAACTTAAAATAACAGCCCTTAGGATTCCTAGGAGCTTTCACATGTGACATTTTACCACATGTCATCACAAAATTTTTGTCAAGTTCTTGCTTCTCCATATAGTCACTATTCACATTTCACTCCCATTAACGGGTCAGTTAGCCTAACTTTGGAGCATGAGTTCGATCACTAAGGTAAAGTCATATTCAGCTCAATCTGTTCATTTTTCTTACTTTTCCTAACAGTAGCAGCAAAATAATGATTAATGTTATTATTTTCATTGGCTATACCCATAGGTAGGAAAGGCCCAAATAGTACAAAAGAATAGGCAATGAAAGTCACTCTCACACCCTAATTATCTAAATCCCTTCCCATTTCTTGCATATACTTCAAGAATGAGTTCACCTATATACCAGCATATTTGTGTACAAATGGGATACATTTGTTCCCAAATGGGATGGAAATTTGGATTACTAGGATCATTATATTACCACAGGATAGCAGTGTTTTAAAGACGGTCCACAGCTTTAGCAAGAATACTCACATTTTTATCTCTCTGGAAGACATAGGTAGTGATGATCATTCTCTGTTCTCCATGGAGAACCAGCTATGCTTTACTCTAATAACATGTTAACTTTCTCAGCTACTTTTTTTTACTTCTGTGATGATAATAATGGTTGGTATTGAGTTCACGCATTTGAACTCCTGGGAATCACTGCAGAAGTTGAGGTGCCTGAGTCACACGGCTAAGAAGGTGTAGCAGATGAATCTTAGCTCTGTGGTTGCTGTAGAGGGACCATAGCTCTGGTTACTTCTCCTCCCAAGGGCTGCCTCGTGATCTGTTCTGGAATTGCCCAAAGGGAGAATGCAAGGCTGCGCTGGACTTGAATTCCCAGGAAATATATAAAGAGAAAGAAAAAAACACCGGTCACTTGAGCAATGATAGATTGTGAAATCATACCCAAAACAAAGTAACCCGGGGGACAGTCCCTTAGGAAACTGTCTCATTCATCCATCAGCTCTGTCTGAACTCAGGAGGAAGGGGAAGAGGGAGGAGATAAGAATGCTGGCATCTTCTTTAGGATGGATCTTTCTGAAAGATCCGCAGCAGCCCCATGACTACGTGAGTTGATAGCCATTGCAATTTAGACAGTAAAGAGTATCTAGGGCCATCCCTGGTGGCACAGAGGGTTAAAGCACAGCACTATGAAGCTATCTGCAGCTACTGCAGCACAAGTTCTCTCCCTGGCCAGGGAGGTGACCCACATGGCACAGCAGACCTCCTCGGTCCGGCCCACTGCTCCCTTCAGCAGTGTATTTCAGTGGTTCTGCCTGTTCTGTTCCCCAGTCTGTATCTGGTGAATCCTCTCACCCCTGTGCCTCTGGCCTGTACCCCAGTTCTTATATGAATAAGTAAATAAGTCTTAAAAAAAAAAAAAGAGTATCTGCCCATGTCTTGGCAGATCGAGAGCAGTTCATCAAGGGAGCAGCAGAAGACCTGTAAGACAGGACTTTGTGTTTATCACCTCTGCTGATGTAGAGATTTGATCCTGACAGTGCTATACATCATAGCTGTCACATTGGGGCCAGGCTGCAGATTGGCTAGACTGATCAACTAGCCAGATTCACAGGAAACAGATGAAATAAAAATTAAAACTTGACTTTGAGCTAAATTATGATTAGAAGTTGCTCAGTGAGTAAAAAGCCAAAGCCAGATAGGCTAGCTGATACCAGTAGCCTGTGGTTAAGGCATCTTTTCCCTAGACAGTGCAGGAAACAATGATAAATTCTTATTTATTTATTAAGAATTTGTTATTTAAAAAGAAGTTGCAAAACACTTAAACAGTGTGATATAGAAAGTTTTTTAATCGTTGCAATATGTAAAATGTTATTGCCCCTATTTTAGAGATGAGGAGACTGAGGTTCAGAGGCATTTAGTAACTTCCCAAGTCACTTGGTTAGCACATTACCTGTTACTGTCCTTCTGGGAATCTTACCCCAGCCACTCTGGCCACTCACACCCTAGACTTGCTGGCTTAAGCTGCTCTCAATTTCTAGATTACAGTTTATAGCTGATGATTTTAGAGACCTTCTCAGCCACCTGCTGACAGATGACTCTGGGATCCAGCTCTAGAGGCCATCCTCATCAACAAGACCGGTTGGGCACTCCTGGGCGGCTGCTTGCATACTGTGCTGCCCCCTGCTGCAAGTTCCGGGTACTGCAAGAGACCTCAGGCTCATATTCTTAGAACTTTTTTTTTTTTTTAAGATTTATTTATTTATTCATACAGAACTGGGGCACAGGAGGGTGAGAGGATTCACCAGGGACAGAGTGGGGAGCAGAACAGGCAGATTGATAAAGTACACTGCTGAGGGGAGCAGCGGGCGGGTCAGGAGAGGTCTGCCTTGCCATGTGGTCACCTCCGGGGCAGGTGGGAATTGAACTCATGCAGAAGTGGCTTAAGCTTCTTAGTGCAGTGCTTTAGCCCGCTGCGCCACCAGGGAGGGCTTATTCTTGAAACTTTTATTGTTGATATTACCTCTTCTGTTGTTTCCTACCTTGGGAAAGTTTTATCTAGATGGGTAAAGATAATTCCTTTTGGTTCTGAGAGATGGGAGGGGAGAGATGAGGAGGTTTACAATGAAAGAGATCCTAGATCTTGCAGTTATTTGCCTCTGGGAAAAACATGTCATAATCTATAAAAAAGCTAGATCTTTAATGCATCTTTAAAATCAAAACCACCTTCATGTTGCAGAGATGAGAAAATTGAAGAGAGCAAATCTATGTAAACAGGAAGTCTAAACAAGTTCTAGTACTTTGAGGACATCATTAGACTATCGCACTTTACATCCTAAATGCTTCCACATGTAAGATATAGAACATTGCCAGTGGTCTCAGAAAGAGGGTTTTTTAAGTAAATACACAAGTACCTTTCTCTGTTCAAGGAAGGGAGAACCTGGAGACCTATTCATGAAACAAAGAATTGTTCTTTAAGGGGCAGATTAACAATGTGGACAACCTAACATGCTTTTCTAAACTTACTGATTTATTTATTGATTATCTTCGTAGCTGTTCTTGGAGTACACAATTTGCTCAATAATCCAAAGTTTGATGAAGAAATGCCCAGTGCAAAAGGCGGCAAAGGACCTGTAAGAAGTAAGTTGGTATAAAATCTGTAGTTTTTATGAAACTTGAGAGCTTCTAGGGTTGTTTGACTGGGCCTTCTGGAGAGTCCAGACTACTGTCTTTCAGGCTTGGAATCATTGAACTCGGAGCAAGCAATTCAGAATAGAGTAACTGATAATGGCAGCCCTATCTGGACAAGTAACAATCATTGTGTCTTGCCCAGAAAATGCTCTCAGTAGGTCTGTTCAGCCAAAAGATAACATATCTGATAAAAAGTTACATGATCAGCACAGAATGCAAGCAGTCACATTCTCCTAACAATGTTTTGATCACCTTTAGTGTCTTAGATGAATTCTCTTCTCTATTCAAGTATCTTTTTCATCTCAATAATGGATGCTTATCATTAGACTTTGAGCACTGTCTTCCTGCAGAGCACATGAAAAACACAGTGGAAGATTTACCGAGAAAGTTTCCAGACTGTCTTCTCTGTCCACATTTTCTGGAGCAGTGTACAGCTCATTAATGAGACATCACTTACTCATCCATCTGTCAGCTACCAAATACCTACTGTGTGTCAGAAATGTTCTGACTTAAGTACAAAGATAAAAAGTTGTCCCTGCCCAGTAGAACTTCTCTGTCTGTGATACTACGATAGGGCCAATAATCAGATAATTTACATATGATGTGATCCAGGTGTTGTGAAAATATAGAACTTTATAGCTTCTCTTAGGTTAATTGTATTTTATTCTCTTTGATGGTTACTTGGAAGTTGCTTTCTTGTCTCAGCAGTGTATTTTTAAACTATAATTATACTTATATAGCATAATTCACTCCATTAACACTATCCCTCTTATTTTCTTCATGGTGTCTTCTGCATACCAGTGGGAAATGTTTTATCAATTTAACTTCAATAGCAAACAGTAATATTCTGGCATATGTTTGCTATTAAAGTCAGGTGTAAAACTTATACATACACATATACCATTAACTTTTTTAAAAACTTAATTTTCTGAGAGAATTTTATGTTCATAGCAAAATTAAGAGGAAGACAGAGAGTTCCTATGTGTCCCCTACCCCTCCACCTTGCAGCCTCCCCAGTTATCATACAGCAGAGGGGAACATATGTTACAGATGATAACCTACAAGGACGCCTCATCGTCACCTCAGTCCATAGTTCTCATTAGGCTATACTTGAGGGTTGTATGTTCTGTGGGTCTGGATAGGTCTAATAACGTATCCACCATTATAGTATCATGCAGAGCTCTTTCACTGCCCTGTGACTCCTGTGCTCTGCTTTTTAATCTCCCATTCTCTAACTCCTGGCAACCACTGCTATTTCACTTTTGCCATAGTTTTGTCTTTTCCAGAATATCATATAGTTGGAATCATACAGTATGTAACTTTCTCAGACTGCCTTCTTTCACTGAATACTATGCATATTAGTTTCTCCTCTATGTCTTTTCATGGCTTGAAGTCTCATTTCTCTTTAGCACTGAGTAATATTCCATTATAAGGATGCTTTAAGTTTATTTATCCATTCACCTACTGCAGAATATCTTGGTTTCTTCCAAATTTGATAAATTATGATTAAAGTTGCTGTAAGCATTCATGTGAAGGTATCTGTGCGGACATATGTTTCCAACTCCTTTGGTTAAATGTCAAAGAACATGACTGCTGAAAGTTATGGTACGAGTATGTTTAGATTTATAAGAAACCTCAAACTGTCTCTCAAGCTGCCCATACCATTTTTGCTTCCCATTAGCAAAGATTGAGAATTTTTGTTGCTCTACATCCAAATAAGTGTTTGCTTTTTTAGTGTTCCATATTCTGGTAATTCTAATAGGGCTATAGTGGTATCTTATTGTTTTCATTTGCAGTTCCCTGATGCTGTATGATCTGGAGCATCTTTTCATATGCTTATTTACCATCTATATATCTTCTTTGGTGAGATGTCTGTTAAGCTGTTTGACCCACTTTTTAATCAAGTTTATTTCTTGCTAATTTTTTTTAAAGATTTATTTATTTGTGCATACAGAACTGGGGTACAGGCCAGGGGTGCAGGAGTGGTGAGAGGATTCACCAGAGTCAGAGTGGGGAACAGAACAGGCCAACTGACGAGGTACACTGCTGAGGGGAGCAGTGGGTCGGTCAGGAGAGGTCTGCTGCGCCATGTGGATCACCTCGAGGCAGGCGGGGATCGAACTCATGCTGAAGCGGCTTTAGTTTCTCAGTGCTGTGCTTTAACCCGCTGCGCCACCAGGAAGGGCCTTTCTTGTTGATTTTTAAGAGCTCTTTATGTTACATATTTGGATATATAGAGATATCCCTACACACACACACACACACACACACACACACACACACAAGAAGCATTATCTGTTATCTGCTTTCCAGAATTCTTCTATTCTTCTTTTCTACTTCGCATCCCATTCCTTCATCAAAACTAAAGCTCCAAAATTGAATCAGAAAAAAATGGGTTACAGGAGCCCACCAGGTTAAAGCACAATACTATGAAGCAATCTGCAGCCACTACAGCTCCCTGAGCCAGAGAGGTGACCCACATGGCGCAGCAGATCTCTCCTGTCTCACCTGCTGCTCCCCTCAACAGTGTACTTCATTGATCTGCCTGTTCTGCTCCGCACACTGTCTCTGGTGAATCCTCTCACAACCCTGTACCTCTGGCCTATACCCCAGTTCTGTATGCATAAATAATTTTTTTTTAAAGTGGGTTACCAGAGACATTTTATGGAGTGGGGAATGGAATAAAAAAGACTGGGGGGGGAGAAAATGCACTGGACTATGGTGATGGCACATGGATGATTTGGTGGTGGGAAGCCCAAGGGAATTGCAACTAAGATGGAAATATGCACAAAATGATGTAAAAATAAACTATTACATATATATATTTTTTTTTAAGTGGGTTATAGTCAAGCAGCTAGAGGCATATTAAGGTCTGATAAGAGACTCATTGAATTTTTCTCAGATTCTATAGCTTATATAGTTTTTGTAGCTATTTAGTTAAAGAGGTCCTTGTGGAACAGCAATAGCTGCCCACAAATGTTCTTTTTAGGGTAGGAGTTTGCTAGGGGCTCCCGTGCTTTTGACTCCATTCAGTGTCAGCCACTGAATTTATCATTGCAACTCAGAACCATCTACCTTTGTAACTCAGAGCCATAAATTCCCATGCTGGCATAGTTGATGATAAACTTGTACTGATACTAGAATATCACTAGTATCAGCATATAACAGAAAGGTCATTTGCAGAAAAGGCATCTCCATTTCTGACAGGATAACTCTTACATTTTCTTTTCATATTTAAACTTGTGTCTTAGATGTGGTCAAAGGTGAAAAGGTTAAGCCGGTATTTGAAGAACCGCCCAATCCCACAAATGTGGAAGTAAGTCTGCAGCAGATAAAAGTCAACGATCCCAGCCTGCAAGAAGTCAACCTCAACAACATTAAGGTATTTCATGATGACTGTGTCTTGATTCATTAGGTCAGAAACTTAATAGGGCTTCCCTTGTGTCTTAGGAGTTAAGTCTGAGCACTATTACCATGACAGCCCACAGTGGAAGTAGCTTGAGTTCGCTCTCTGGCCAGGGAGCTGACCCACATGGCTCAGCAGACCTCTCATGTCTCCCCTGCTGCTCCCCTCAGCAGTGTATTTCAGTCGACCTGCCTGGTCTGTTCCCCACTCTGTCTCTGGTGAATCCTCTCACCACCTGCACCTCTGGCCTACACCCCAGTTTTTGTATGCCAAAAAAACCCCAAGACTTAATGGTCTCATACCTGTTTTCAGTCCTTTGTGTCAGTGATTGAGTGGCCTTTGGGATTGGTTTTGGGGCAAGATAGCCTATTTAAAAGAGTAAGATTTGAAAAAATGATTTCTAGAATTATTTGAAAAGAATCACAGTACTGTGTTAGACATAATAGATAAGTTATCTATTATGAAGTAACAAATTGCTCCAAAACGTAGAGATTTAAATAGTAAACATTTATTATTTTACACAATTTCTGAGTGACAGGAATTGAGAAGTGACTTATCTGGTTAGTTGTAGCTGCTGTCTCAAATAAGGCTGCAGTGAAGTCAGACTACAATCTTCTGAAGGCTTGAGTGGGGTCAGAGGAGTCACTTCCAATGGTGCCTTTCATGTGGCTTTTTAAAAAAAGATTTATTTATTTATGCATACAGAACTGGGGTACAAGCCAAAGGTGCAGGGGTGGAAAGAGGATTCACTGGAGACCAAGTGGGGAGCAGAACAGGCAGACTGACGAAGCACACTGCTGAGAGGAGCAGCGGGCGGGTCAGGAGAGGTCTGCTGTGCCATGTGGTCACCTCCAGGGCAGGGATTGAACCTGTCTGAAGCGGCTGCAGCCAGCTTGCAGTGCTACATCCTAACCCATTGTGCTACCAGGGAGGGCCTCACGTGGCTTTTGATAGGAAGCCTCAGCTTCTTACCACATGGACCTCTCCCTAGGGCTGCCTGAGTGTCCGTATGTCATGACATGTGTCTTCCCCAGAGTAAGTGATCCAGACAAAAAAGAAGGAAGCCACTATGCCTTTCATATACTATTCTCTGAAGTCACACATTTTCACATCCACTTTATTCTATTTGGCAATAAGTCATGTTACTCTCAAAAGGAGAGTGGTGGTGGGAAGCATTACTTAATATCTATTTTGTTCATGAAACTCACTGTGTTACATATCCTTTGCTAAATCCTTGAAATTCATTATCTCATTTATTCCTTAGTGGACTTTAAAGAAGTTAAGGTCCAGGCCCTCGTTGGTGGTGCAACGGGCCAACACGCAGCACAGTAAAGCTCTCCAAAGCCACTGCAGTTTGGGTTTGATTCCCAGCCAGGGAGGTGACCCACATGGCTCGGCAGACCTCTCCAGTCCCACCCGCTGCTTCCCTCCATCGTGTATTTCAGTTAACCTGCCTGTTCTGCTCTCTACTCTTGTCTCTGGTGAATCCTCTCACCACCCCGCTCTCTGGCCTGTTCTCCAGCTCTTGTATGCATAAATAAATAAATCTTTGAAAATTAAAAAAAAAAGAGATGTTAAGATCACATGCTCACAGCTAGACTCTAGTGCATCCAGATCTCAAGTCAGCCTCTAGCTGTCCACCATATTGACTCCTTCTCCCATACACCCAATACGACCACCTCCCAATATTGTGCTTTGTCATATGAGAGAGGAAGTGGTCTTTATTCTGAAGAATTTGTGTTAGAGGAAAACACTAAATAGGTAATTACAACATGGTGTGATAAGCCCCTAAATGTTATGAAATTGCTGCTAAGGAAAATGTCAGCTTGCCTAGGGAAAAGTCATTAATAAAGGTGGTATGATATTTTAGCTTAAAAGTGTCTTAAAATATTCGTCTTAAAAGATGAATAGGAATCATAAAGAAAAGAAAAGAAGATTTCCTAGAAAAAGGGAAAAATGTATCTATAGCATGGAAGGGGAGAAAAAGATCATGGTATAGTAAAAGAACAAGTCTTGCTAGAATATGGAGAATGAAAGAGAAAAATAAGGAAATGTGGCATGTACATAATTCCTTGTTAGGGCAAACAGAACTATCAGAATGTCACATTTTGCTTTTTATTCCTGGATTGGACACTAAGTGGTGCTATTGGCTCAGGGTTACTTGGTTGCTGAGTCTGGGTGTTGAATGCCATTTAAAGGATACCATACAACTTGCCAACTAAATATATGAAGTATTCAAAAAAGCTTGGGGTAGGGTGCTTCAAAATAGATAATCAACTCTCTGTGTCTTCTTCATCTTAGAACATTCCAATTCCAACTCTGAAGGAATTTGCAAAGGCCCTGGAGACCAACACTCATGTTAAGAAGTTCAGTCTGGCCGCAACCCGCAGCAATGACCCTGTGGCAATTGTGAGTAACATTCTTATACTATGAAAATATTTAATCCTTAGAAACTACTTTTAATTCTTTTTTAAATGTTTTTTGGATCTTTTAAATTTATTTCCTACATAGTCAATAAGCAAAATAAGACAATAAAACAGAATCCATCTGTCAGGCTCTTTGAATTAACTGATTTTGTTAGCATTATACTTTGAAGAGAAAGAAACAAGATTAGATTAGGGGGCATTTAGCTAAATAAATATTTAAATTTCGTCCTGTGTTTATAGACATTTTATGAAATTTTTGCCATGTATATAGTAACACTCCGGTCAATAGGAATTGTAAGACCCCTAAATCCTATAGGAATTCAGAACATATAAAAAATGTCCAAGTATATTCATCTAAATCTTTGACATGGATTAATATGTTTCAAGGACACTTAAACAACTGAATCTTAAGACATTTTTTGTTTGACACTGTTAACCAATGTTAAAGGAAAAATGTCTTGTGAAGATAACACCAATAGGTTAACTCACTTAATTACAGTTAAGGAATCTAGTCTTACTGGTCAGTATGGAATTTTCTGGTCAGCACCACTGAGATTACTTTTTCCATTCCCCAAAGGAAAAAGCTATTCTTCTACATGATCTTTCTGTTTCCCATAGATATGTTACCTAAACCAGAAATAATTCCTTTTTCCTTTATCTTGCCCTCTTTGTGCCTTTCGTTTCTGTTGATTTAGGGAACTCTCGTATTTGTTAGTTGGCATGCAGCCCAGTTCATGAATTGTTTTAATAAAACCAAGCAGATCTTTAAAATTAACTCATTTTTATTTAACACCAGTATATGAAAAAAACAAATAAAAGCCCTGTTGCTTCTTTATATTTTAGGTAATAAGGAAGCCTCTTGACCCAAGTAAATGACTACCATCGCCATTATCAGAGTTACTCCTCCCATTGTAGCTAACATTTCTTGAGCAATTAGTAAATGCCAACACTGATCTCTGCTTTTAACACGCCTCACCTCATCTATCCGCATGACAATGCTGTGAGGTGTATACTACTATTAGTTCCCACTTATCCAAGGAGCAATCTGAGGTGCACAAAGGTTAACTTTTCTAAAGTAACACAGCCAGTTAGTGGCAGAGCTGGGATTTACCACCAGTCTTTCTGGTTCCACAGCCAGGGTGTTTAACCATGGAGCTGTGTTATATTTACATAACAATGCTTCACTGTCGGACATTTGCTAAAATATATCAGCAATCAGAAGACTGAACACCAGCCTGAGATTCTATAGTATCTAGTACTCTACTTCTGAATCAAGCTAGAATAGATGTTTTCTTCATGTGATGTGATTTAAAGTAACATGTCTTTTGGAAGATCTAAAATAACACTGAAAACAGATAACATGAAAGTAATGTCTGCTTACTATAGTGCTGGTGAAGAACTGATGTTTGAAAAATACTTGTTAAGTGAATGAAAGAACATACCCTCCCCACCTTGTAGCAACAAAGAGTATTTCCATGATGACCACAGCAAATTTGAAATAAGCACTCATGTAAAAGAGGAACTAAGCTACAAAATTGATGTTTTCACCAGTTAATTATTACATCGCTAAATTTGTGAGTTGAGGGCAGTTTTGAATTTGAAGCGTATCACTAAAATAGAAAAAGCAGAACTAGGTCATTGGTAAAGTGAAATTAGCAGTTTGAAGTTTGGGATCTTTATCTGATTTTATAAAATCTCTACGATTCAGTAGATATATTTTCAACACAGCAAACATTCACAATACATTTTATATGTGGATAACTAAAGGGGTTAGTGAAGAAATGATTTATTACTCTTGTTTAATATATTAAATATTTTATTTACAAAAAATGCCAGGGGTGGGGAAAATTTATAATCCATTGTAAATGCTACTACTAAATAATCTAACTTCTGCCCTTGGTCAGCTGGATAATTTGCTAAGTAGACTAAATAAACTCTAAATAGAAGCTCTTTGATAAGGTTTTTAATACCGCAACTATGTGTCGAATGCATACCATGTGAGAAACACACCACACAATTATGAGGAATAATTGCTGTCCTTAAGGGTACAAAAAGAAAAGCCTCCTTCATCCTTTTGTCTAGAAGGCTTTGTGTGGTCCAGCCCTCACCTGACTGCCCCCAGTTGGTTCTCCAGCTGTGAAGCAGCCAGAAAAGAATCTTCCCATAGGTTGAAAGTTGGTACCCCACAGGCAATCAAGACTATGATTATGGCTGAATAACTCACTGCTGAGAACTAAAAAGCAGCATGAAAGCAAAGAGCTTCAAGAGATTTTTCTATTTAAGGTTCAAAAACAGATTCAGTAGGATTGATTGCTGTGAATGCAAACAAGCTGTGTAAGATGGCATTATCCTCACTTTTCAGATGGGTGAACTGAGACTCAGAGAGGTTAAGTAACAACTAAGATTACATAGTAGATGACTAAGCCAGGAATGAATTTAAGTGACCTGTAATCAGGTTCAGTTCAACTTGCCCCAACTACTTCCATCTAACCACTCTGTGGCAGAAACTTGCCCCACTGAGTGACAATGTAGAGAAAATCCCCCAATTTGTAAAAGAAAATGCTATAATTATTAACAGTGGCACCACATAAAAGTCAAGAATTTAGGACAGCACTGTCCAGAAATAAGATGAGTCACATACGAGTCACATATGTGACTTTTAAGTAGTAGTCACATTAAAAAACCTGAAAGTTAAAATTAATTTTAATGATACATTTTATTTAAACCAGTAACCCAAAATATTATCATTTCAAAGTGGAATTTGAAAATGTGATGTGATGCTTTACCTTTTTTTTTTTTTTCATACTACACTTTTGAAATCCAGTGTATTTTACATTTACAACACGTCTCACTTGAGACTAACCATTTTTCAAGGACTTACTAGTGTGGTGTCTTGTGGCTACCATTTAGATATAGCAGGAAGCTACATTTCCACATAACACAAGTGTAGAAAGCAAAACCTGCTCTTGAAAAATGTATTTCTACTCTGCTTATTTATATAAAATTTAAGAAATTTGATCTTTATTTTACTAGTGTTATCCCCAGCACATGTTATAGATGCACAAATATTTGCTGAACTAAAATGAACTCGGGCCTACAGCCCAGGCTTATGTTTGGCTAACTCTCCTCTGTTTTGTTCAGTGTGAGAAAAGTGTTTTCTCAAGCTTAAAAGAAATTAGCAAGTTCCTGGCTACTTTCCAGATGGTCCGGCAACTTTTTTTTTTTTTTGTAAAGGCCTAATGGCTCTGATATTTTATTATTCTAATAAGGAAAGTAGATCCCATAGCTTGCAGCATCCATAAGGAGAGGATTGATGCATTCCTTTCTCGAACTAATTAAAATGTGTACATTTAATCCTTATTAAAGGCCTGGCACTGAATAAATGCACTTTAGTTTACATAGTGTACAATAATGCCAGTCCGAATACTGGGGCTGTCTTTATAGTTCAGCCATCTGCTTGACTAAAACACAGGATTGTTCTAGTCCAACCCAGATTCTCAACTCTGGTCCGCTTTGCCCTGCAGGGAACATTTGGCAACAACTCAGAGGTATTTGTGGTTGTTGTAACTAAGAGGGGTGTTGTTGGCAATTCAGTGGGTCTCAGAGGCAAGGGATGCTGCTGCCCAGCCTACAGTGGGGAAATCAGCTTCCCACAACAGAGGATTCTCTGATTCCTGGTTTCAAATGTTAGCGCAGAAGTTTAGAAACCCTTCTCTTGTCCCAAGTTGGATTCCTTCTTCCTTTTTTTCCTTGCCATAAAAAACAAATAAATAGTTTAAAAGTTCTTTGTTCTTATCGCCAGAGCAGTTGCGTTTAGTTGTTTGTTTTCTCATTCTTCGAGTTGTTGTCTTTATGCTTTAATTAAAGTGGTTGTCAGTCTTGGCTGAACATTAGTCACCTAGAGAACTTTTTAAAAATGCAGCTGTCCAGGTCATAACCTAAGATTCTGATTGAGTCCATCTGGGGGTGGGGGTGGTGGTGGCAAGTATTAGTATATATTTTTCTAAGCATGAAGGTCATTCTAATGTGCACTCAGGGTCAAAGAACACTCAAGTTCATGCGTTTTTACTGTTGATTCATCATCCTAGTTATATTTAATTCTCTGTTAGCAAAGATGAGGGCAGTTCTATATTCACTCTGCCCTCTAGCCCTCTTCCTCTTATAAGAGTATAATTAGAGTTATATTTATGCCATTATTTTGACATGTTTGAGCATTGTAAATTTTATGTCATTATGTATTTTTT